CTAGCGGTCTGATTATGTCGGTATTTCTGTGCTCAAAGCGGTACTTTTTTTTCATGGAAATATGTTGTTTTTTTTTTTTTATTGTAGGACTGTAATTCTTAGGAATAACTCACTGAAATCTGTCCAAACAAGAGTCTAGTAAACATCCCGGGTATGATAAAATTTCAAACACAAAATCATAAATCACAAATATAATGAATAATCATAAAAAAAAATAATAATATAAAAATAATAAATTTAAATCAATAATATAATCAAACCAAAAACACTGAAATTTGAAACAGAGCGCCAAGTTCGCACATCGCTGAGCAAAGTCGCAGAATCGTTTTCAGTGTCTGATGAGGAATTTCCCCCACGAATCATCATCACTCAATTCTGCAAGTGGTTCTGATTTACTATCGCTGTTCTCTAGCCGTCTAAAACCGCTTTTGACCTAAAGGGACGCTTTTTGGACGCCATGGACGATTCTCAGTTTCCAGGCAGAAAGAACAGTAAAAATGCAGGCAGGGCGCCGGACAAAGCACTCGGGACAAAATGTATGTGAAATGATTTGATACAGGAATGTTATACTATGTGATTTTAGTGTATTGAGTGTCACTTAAAATTTTTGAATTTCCCGCCGTTCTGTCCCTCGAATGTCCCGACGCTCGCAGGGAACGGAACCTGGGAGACGGATCCTGGTATCGGCCGGAGGAGATAGCCGGGGACACTGCAGGGGGGACATCGCAGGAGTGAAGGACAAGGTAAGTGCTGCAGGGAATCCTTGAACAACGCTGCAGTGTATTCCTGAGTGTAGCTCAGAGTTACCGCTTCTGGTACTGAACTTAACCCCGAGCTACACTCAGGAATACCGCCAATTATGTTGGTGTGCAGCCATTCCTTCTAATGGCCACAGTGAGCGGTGGGGAGCCGAGGCGGGCGCCCACACGAGGGCTGTATAAGACTGATGGCATTTGGCCTGGAGCAGTTTCTTTCTAGGTTGGAAGACACCTCCAGGAGGATCCCCCTATGGGGTCTCCGTCCTGTTTCTAATCTAATCTGTAGGCGAGTCAACCTCCATGGGACTCCATCCTACCTACCGTGAATATCAGCAGCACCAGGACTCAGTTCCATAGACACACACAGAGCGTAGCTTGGCCCTGTCCCCCACTCCTTCCTCACTGGCTGTGATTGACAGCAGCAGGAGCCAATGGCCAATGAGGATGGAGAGAGCCTCTGCTCTTGTGCACATCGCTGGATTGAGATCAATGGGCTGTAGTGTGTTTCTGCAAAACTGAAAACGCGCTGAAAAACGTATGGGTGTGAACCAGGCCTTATAACCACTTGAGGCAACACCATCAACACGTTACATGCTTTAACACATATAGGTGCTATTTATTGTGAATGGCACCCCAACGCACCAAGGCAACACACACATGCATTGAATCAAACATTTTGTGGCATGTCCAATGTTTGTAACATTTTGGTGAGTTGTCAGCCCAATTTTTTCATTCGGTTGCCTTAATACAATGCACGTTAACGTGCAACATAATGTGCATTAAGACCTATATGTTAGGAGATTAAGGGGCAAAATGATCTCCATGTATAATACATACAGGGGGGGATATATGATTCTCCATGTATAATACATAGGGGGGATATGATCTCCATGTATAATACATAAGTGTCAGGAATGGACTGGCCAGCAATGGTGGGACTCACCTGCCTTTTGATCTGCAGTACCAGGGCTGGCCAGCGGGTGCTCCCAGCAATCAGAGACTCAACTTGCAGCCAGCTAACACCTGGAACTGATTATGCTGGGGTATTTAAGGGATGGCCAGACCCACAGACTCTGCCTTGGTGTGTGTTTGTCCTGGGGCCCGGTATCTGTCCTGCATCCTGTTTCTGTTCCTTTGCTGACCCTCTGTACTACGCTGCTTGCTACCTGTCCTGATCCCTGGCTTGTGACCCTGACCATCCCTCTGCCTGACCCTCTGTACTACGCTGCTTGCTACCTGTTCTGATCCCTGGCTTGTGACCCTGACCATCCCTCTGCTTGACCCTCTGTACTCTACGCTGCTTGCTACCTGCTGAACCTGGCCTGTGACACCCCGACCATTCTCCGCTTGCTCCCCCTGTACCTACCTGCCCAATTGATATTGACCCGGCCTGCCGGACGACGCTTGCTTGTATGTACTGTTATCTGTGGGTGGTTTGATTTGGTTTGTTTTGCACTGTATTATGTTTAGTATTGCACTGCGTTTATGTTTGTATTGTTAGTGTTAATAAATTATATTGTTTATCCCATATCTGAAGTCTGCGTTTCCCTGCGTCAGTCACACATCTCTGGTCATACCTGGGAGCCCGGACATTACACCAAGGCACAATCCTGACCAGAAGTGGCTGCACAGGGAAGCCATCTTGGTTTGTTGATGGGAAGGATGGATCTGGATGAGGTTGAGTATTTATCTCTGCTAGTGTTTGATGACAGGGAGTATGCTTATCAAACTCTGAAGGAGTATCCCCGGGATGAATTGCTAGAATGTATACGGCTCGCTCATGTTCTAGTAGATCAGGGCACAGAGTTCTCTGAGGTGCAGCCTTTGATTGAGGTTTGTGCAGAGTTGGTTTCATCTGGTTCCCCCGAATGCAGGGATGAATTTTTGCCACCATTTAGTGCAGACCAGGTAGAGTCCCCCTGGTGTGGTTATTAGAGGATGATGTGGGTTACTTTCTGGAGCGTTATTCCACATGTTCACCACAGACACTAAGAGTTTGTATAAACGCAGTGCAGTCATTGACCAGACAGGCTTTGTGTAAGCTCAGCTTTGTTCAACCCCATACTGCAGACATGGACAGACTTGTTGCACCCAGCCTCAGTCAGCTTACAAAGACCCAGTCCTGCTTCTAACTCTACTCCTGTATTCCCACCAGCTCCTCCAGTTACAGCCCAGTATACTTGGCTATCTACCGCATGTCAGTACCCTGTTCCCACTCGCTGCACCTATCCTGCCTTTAACCCTGTAAAAAAGCCCTCTGTAGCAACTGCTCCCTCTCTGTTCCATCCTCCATTTCTTCTCTGTCTCCAGCTGCTCCATTCGTTTGCAGACCTGCGTTTACTTGCAGTGCTCCAGTAGTTAAAGCCAGAAAAAAAGCGAAAATTCTTTCCAACCAATACCATCCTGCCAGTATCCAAACTGGTGAACCTGCCTTCCGTGGTTCAGCCTGAAGCCTCTACTCGGCCTGAAGCCTCTACTCGGCCTGAATCCTCTACTCGGCCTGAAGCCTCTACTCGGCCTGAGATAATCCTTCTACTCGGCCTGATGCCTCTACTCGGCCTGAAGCCTCTACTCGGCCTGAAGCCTCTACTCGGCCTGAAGCCTCTACTCAGCCGGACGCCGGCATTCAGCCTGATGCCTCTACCCAGCATGATGAACTGATCCAGCCTGATGATCCTATTAGGCAGTTGACTCGATGCCCGCTGTTGATCCAGATGATCCGGTACCTGATCCGGTGCTCGCTGTCGTGCCAATTGACTCAGAGCCCGCTGTCGTACCTGGTGACTCGGTGCCCACTGCCTTGCCAGATGACGCGGTGCCCGCTGGCGAGCCAAATGACCTGATGCCTGGTGACCCAGTGCCCGCTGTCATACCTGGTGACCCGATGCCCGCTGTCGAGCCAGACGATCCAATGCCTGGTGACCCGGTGCCCACTGCCTTGCCAGATGACGCGGTGCCCGCTGGCAAGCCAAATGACCTGATGCCTGGTGACCCAGTGCCCGCTGTCGAGCCAGACAATCTGGTACCTGATGACCCGGTGCCCACTGTCGTGCCTGTTGATTCGGAGCCCACTGCCTTGCCAGATGACGCGGTGCCCGCTGTTGAGCCAAATGACCTGATGCCTGGTGACCCGATGCCCGCTGTCCAGTCAGACGATCCAATGTCTGACCCAGTGCCCGCGGTCATACCAGTTGACTCGGAGCCCACTGCCTTGCCAGATGACGCGGTGCCCGCTGTTGAGCCAAATGACCTGATGCCTGGTGACCCGATGCCCGCTGTCCAGTCAGACGATTCAATGTCTGACCCAGTGCCCGCGGTCATACCAGTTGACTCGGAGCCCACTGCCTTGCCAAATGATGCGGTGCCCGCGGTCGAGCCAAATGACCTGATGCCGGGTGACCCGATGCCCGCTGTCCAGCCAGACGATCCAATGTTCTGACCCAGTGCCAGCGGTCATGCCAGTTGACTCGGAGCCCACTGTCGTGCCAGATGACTCGGCGCCCGCCGCTCTGCCTGAGGGCCCGAGACCTGTCGCTCCACCTGGGGGTCCGACGCCTGCCGCTCCGCCTGAGGGCCCGAGACCTGTCGCTCCACCTGGGGGTCCGGCGCCCGCCGCTCCGCCTGAGGGCCCGAGACCTGTCGCTCCACCTGGGGGTCCGGCGCCCGCCGCTCCGCCTGAGGGCCCGAGACCTGTCGCTCCATCTGGGGGTCCGGCGCCCGCCGCTCCGCCTGGGGGCCGAGACCCGCCGCTCCACCTGGGGGTCCGGCGCGCCGCCGCTCCGCCTGAGGGCCCGAGACCCGTCGCTCCACCTGGGGGTCCGGCGCCCGCCGCTCCGCCTGAGGGCCCGAGACCTGTCGCTCCACCTGGAGGTCGGCGCCCGCCGCTCCGCCTGAGGGCCCGAGACCTGTCGCTCCCATCTGGGGGTCCGGCGCCCGCCGCTCCGCCTGGGGGCCCGAGACCTGTCGCTCCGCCTGGGGGCCCGAGACCTGCGCTCCACCTGGGGGTCCGGCGCCCGCCGCTCCGCTCCGAGAACCTGTCGCTCCGCCTGGGGGCCCGAGACCTGTCGCTCCATCTGGGGGGTCCGCGCCTGCCGCTCCGCCTGAGGGCCCGAGACCTGTCCGCTCCACCTGGGGGTCCGGCGCCTGCCGCTTCCGCCTGAGGGCCCGAGACCTGTCGCTCCACCTGGGGGTCCGGCGCCTGCCGCTCCGCCTGAGGGCCCGAGACCTGTCGCTCCACCTGGGGGTCCGGCGCCCGCCGCTCCGCCTGAGGGCCCGAGAGCCCTGTCGCACCACCTGAGGGGTCCGGATGCCTGTCGCCTCCGCCTGAGGGGCCCGATGAACTGTCGCCCCGCCTGGGGGCCCGATGCCTGTCGCCCCTTCCTGGGGGCCCGGCCAACCCGCCGCTCCGCCTGGGGCCCGATGCCTGTCGCCCCACCTGGGGGCCCGATGCCTGTCGCCCCCCGCCTGGGGGCCCGATGCCGTCGCCCCGCCTGGGGGCCCGATGCCTGTCGCCCCTCCTGGGGGCCCGGCACCCCGCCGCTCCGCCTGGGGCCCGATGCCGGTCGCCCCACCTGGGGGCCCGATGCCTGTCGCCCCGCCTGGGGGCCCGATGCCTGTCCCCCTCCTGGGGGCCCGATGCCTGTTGCCCCTCCTGGGGGCCCGATGCCTGTCGCACCTCCTGGGGGCCGGCGCCCCCGCGCTCCGCCTGGGGCCCGATGACCGGTCGCCCACCTGGGGGCCCGATGCCTGCTCGCTTCCGCCCTGGGGGCCGGTGCCTGTCTGCTCCGCCCGGGGGCCCGGTGCCTGTGCGCCCGCCCGGGGGCCCGGTGCCTGCCCTCCGCCCAACGGTGACCCCCTGCCTGCCTTGCTTCCCCGTAAACCGATGTGCCTCTGCCCGGAGTCCAGCCACCTGCCTCTGCCCGGAGTCCAGCCCGATTGCCTCTGCCTGAGTCCCCCCGATGTGCCTCTGCCCGGAGTCCAGCCCGATGTGCCTCTGCCCGGAGGTCCAGCCCCGATGTGCCTCTGCCCGGAGTCCAGCCCGGATGTGCCTCTGTCCAGCCCGATGTGCCTCTGGGAGTCCAGCCCGATGTGCCTCTGCCCCTCCTGCCCGATGTGCCCTGCTGCCGAGTCCTGCCCGATGTCGCCTCTGCCCGGAGTCCAGCCCGATGTTGCCCGGAGTCCAGCCCGATGTGCCTCTGCCCGGAGTCCAGCCCGATGTGCCTCGCCCGGAGTCCAGCTCCGATGTGCCTCTGCCCGGAGTCCAGCCCGATGTGGCCTCTGCCCGGAGTCCAGCCCGATGTGCCTCTGCCCGGAGTCCAGCCCGATGTGCCTCTGCCCGGAGTCCAGCCCGATGTGCCTCTGCCCGGAGTCCAGCCCGATGTGCCTCTGCCCGGAGTCCAGCCCGATGTGCCTCTGCCCGGAGTCCCCGAATGTGCCTCGGAGTATGTGCCTCTGCCCGGAGTCCCAGCCCGATGTGCCTCTGCCCGGAGTCCTGCCCGATGTGCCTCTGCCCGGAGTCCTGCCCGATGTGCCTCTGCCCGGAGTCCAGCCCCGATGTGCCTTGCCCGGAAGTCCAGCCCCTCTGGGAGTCCAGCCCGATGTGCCTCTGCCCGGAGTCCAGCACGATGTGCCTCTGCCCGGAGTCCCAGCCCGATGTGCCTCTGCCCGGAGTCCAAGCCCGATGTGCCTCTGCCCGATGTGCCTCTGCCCGGGTCCAGCCCGATGTGCTCTGCCCGGAGTCCAGCCCGATGTGCCTCTGCCCGATGTGCCTCTGCCCAGGAGTCCAGCCCGGAGTGCCAGCCCAATGTGCTTCTGCCCGGAGTCCAGCCCAGATGTTGCCTCTGCCCGGTGTCCAGCCCGATGTGCCTCTGCCTGGTGTACCGCTGCCCGGAGTCCTGCCAGGTGTGCCAGTCTTTGATATCCCGCCAGTTACCAGACCCGGGCGGTGGAACATTTTTCCCAGCTAGGACTGTTTGGAGCGTCCTGAGGCCGCTCCTTGAGGGGGGGGTACTGTCAGGAATGGACTGGCCAGCAATGGTGGACTCACCTGCCTTTTGATCTGCGTACCAGGGCTGGCCAGCGGGTGCTCCCAGCAATCAGAGACTCAACTTTGCAGCCAGCTAACACCTGGAACTGATTATGCTGGGGTATTTTAAGGGATGGCCAGACCCACAGACTCTGCCTTGGTGTGTGTGTTTGTCCTGGGCCCTGTATCTGTCCTGCATCCTGTTTCTGTTCCTTTGCTGACCCTCTGTACTACGCTGCTTGCTACCTGTCCTGATCCCTGGCTTGTGACCCTGACCATCCCTCTGCCTGACCCTCTGTACTAACGCTGCTTGCTACCTGTTCTGATCCCTGGCTTGTGACCCTGACCATCCCTCTGCTTGACCCTGCAGCAGCTGTACTACGCTGCTTGCTACCTGCTGAACCTGGCCTGTGACCCCGACCATTCTCCGCTTGCTCCCCCTGTACCTACCTGCCCAATTGATATTGACCCGGCCTGCCTGACGACGCTTGCTTGTATGTACTGTTATCTGTGGGTGGTTGGTTTGGTTTGTTTGCACTGTATTATGTTTAGTATTGCACTGCGTTTATGTTTATAATACATAAGGGGGGATATGATCTCCATGTAATAATACATAAGGGGGGGATATGATCTCCATGTATAATACATAAGGGGGGATATGATCACCATGTATAATACATAAGGGGGGGATATGATCTCCATGTATAATACATAAGGGGGGATATGATCTCCATGTATAATACATAAGGGGGGGGGGATATGATCTCCATGTATAATACATAAGGGGGGGATATGATAATGTATAATACATAAGGGGGGATATGATCACCATGTATAATACATAAGGGGGATATGATCTCCATGTATAATACATAAGGGGGGATATGATCTCCATGTATAATACATAAGGGGGGGATATGATCTCCATGTATAATACATAAGGGGGGTATGATCTCCATGTATAATACATAAGGGGGGGATATGATCTCCATGTATAATACATAAGGGGGGATATGATCTCCATGTATAAATACATAAGGGGGGATATGATCTCCATGTATAATACATAAGGGGGATATGATCTCCATGTATAATACATAAGGGGGGGATATGATCTCCATGTATAATACATAAGGGGGGATATGATCTCCATGTATAATACATAAGGGGGGATATGATCTCCATGTATAATACATAAGGGGGGATATGATCTCCATGTATAATACATAAGGGGGGATATGATCTCCATGTATAATACATAAGGGGGGGATATGATCTCCATGTATAATACATAAGGGGGGGATATGATCTCCATGTATAATACATAAAGGGGGGATATGATCTCCATGTATAATACATAAGGGGGGGATATGATCTCCATGTATAATACATAAGGGGGGGATATGATCTCCATGTATAATACATAAGGGGGGGATATGATCTCCATGTATAATACATAAGGGGGATATGATCTCCATGTATAATACATAAGGGGGATATGATCTCCATGTATAATACATAAGGGGGATATGATCTCCATGTATAATACATAAGGGGGGATATGATCTCCATGTATAATACATAAGGGGGGATATGATCTCCATGTATAATACATAAGGGGGGATATGATCTCCATGTATAATACATAAGGGGGGATATGATCTCCATGTATAATACATAAGGGGGGATATGATCTCCATGTATAAATACATCAGTGGTTCATATAGTGAACTCGGTGTAGAGCTATTCACCCTGAGGTCATCACAGAGGACAAGGGGGCGCTCTTTGCATCTGGAGGAAAAGAAATTTAATCTCCAAACAAACACGGAAAGGTTTCTTCACAGTAAGAGCTGTGAGAATGTGGAATAGACTCCCTCAAGAGTTGGTTCTGGCCAGCTCAGTGGATTGCTTTATAAAAGTCCTGGATTCTTTCTTAGATACACAGAATATAACTGGATATAACATTTATAGGTAAAGTTGATCCAGGTAATATCTGATTGCCTCTCAGGAGATCAGGAAGGAATTTTTTTCCCTGCAGGAGCAAATTGGATCGGGTTTTTTTGCCTTCCTCTGGATCAACTGTGGGTGTAGGATTATAACTGTTTTTTAGTAATGGTTGAACTGGATGAACTTTTGTCTTTTTTCAGCCAGAATAACTATGTAACCATGTTAAAGTACCAGAAACATGTAAACATGAACTAAAACTTACTGATCCACTTTATTTTGCTACATGTTTTACTAAAAGGCCAAAGCTTGATTTTTAAATTCTGATTTTCTACACTTGCAAAGCTGAATAGAAAATTGTATCGGTTCATAGAAGACTGGTCCCCATTGGGATTTCTGGAAGCTGTGAAAGAAATTTCGGCTCCCATATGAGGTGCTCTCGTTAATGGTTCGTATCAGTAGCATTCCTCTATTCACTGGTGGTGGAGCCCAGCTGTTGTCTGTGACTCACATGATCCATGATTTCAAAGGACTAAAATGGAACAAAATACAACGATCCCTGGCCATGGAATGATCTGCAAATGCAAAGCAGATTAACCAACCTAGAATTCTATTTCAAGTCTATGTGTGCAAGATTAAAGGAAACTAACATATAAAATATTTGGTATGAATTATGGAAATGTATGTGATGTCAAAACACATTGCATTCTTTTGTGCCCTGAGAGAGGTGGAAACAAACCAAGCTCCAGCTGTAAGTCAAACTCCTCTTTGTATTTGGAGCTTACAGCAAAACAAATGGTGGAGATGGTGAATCTGGAACCTAGGGTGAGTCCCTCCTCTAAATTTTACATGTTTTTGTGTGGAAATGCAACTTCAAAAAGGAAAAACCCTACCCATTTCCCCAATATCTCTTCTATATCATCCAAAATCACTTGACTCTACTCACTATTTGGGGAGATCTGTCTACCTTTTTTGTATTTTTAAAAATTATCATTGGCCTGGAGGACCACAAGATTTGTCCTCCTTGAAACTGAAAATAAGACCCCCACAAGCTAAGATTCCTGAAAAAAAAACTGAAGGAACAATAACAGATAGGATCACCAATTGCACTCAGGTATTGCAACCTTGGGTCAATAGATACCCACCACCAGGCTTTGATAACACTTTTTTGAACCTTGATGACCATACTCCTTCATTACTACAATCGGAGCAATTAAATGATTGAGTTGGGTCTTATTTCAACCCTAACCTCAGGTCTTTACCCTGACCTTTCCCTTCCCCACCTCTTAGCTGGTTAACACATTTTTTATTACAACACCATGTGCATTTTCTACCTCCTGTACAATATAATGTGTATCCCTTTTATACTACCTGTGTATTATACCAATGTATCTTTATTTAAAGGGTATTATTATTATTATTATACAGTATTTATAAAGCGCCAATAGTTCGCTCAGCGCTGTACATTACAAAGGGGGACAGAACATGTGACAGAACAATACAATACAATGCAAAACATGGGGGGGGGGGGGGAATCGAGGGCCCTGCTCTTTCGAGCTTACAATCTAGGAATGTTCACCTTTTCACAAAAAAAATTAAAAGTGAACTAACTGTAAATATTCTGGCCAGCCCTTTGGACCCCTCTGCCCATAGTGGCCATGATGCTGGCGTAGTGGTTCATACACCATAATGCACCACCCTGAAGTGAGCACATCACAATGATTGCAATGGCAACAGTTCATTGACCAGTGCATCCATGTGACCATGTTGACCAATTAGAAGCGCATCTGATGCTTATTTTAGTGTCCCAGAAGTAAGAGACTCTTCTCACCGGTCAATTTGGTCAATGACTTTTGGTTGA